GCTAGAGATGACCTGATTTGATGATCTCACCTTGAAGTACCAAAGGCTGACTTCTCAAAAAATGCAAATATCTGCTAGGTATCATAAAATAACCCCAGCTGGTATCAAGATTAGCCAAATCACCTAAATGTTAGTCATGGTTCTATGTTTCAACTATCTTTAAATGTGCAATGAAAGAGAAAAATAGCATTTTCTAGAACTCATTGTCTTCTTATTTCATTTGGAAAGATGGGTTTGAAGGTTGAGATTTAGCCTGGTAGAGGTCAGAGATAGTTTCTGTAGTGACAGAAGCCACTGCAAATCCTGGCGATAAAAGGTAATCCTTGAAAATGAAAATATGTCATCTGTCAACCCAACCCTCCACCCCCTGCACACACTTAAAACCCCTAACTAACTTCCCATTGTTCTTAAAATAAAAACCTCAGTCCTACATGGTCCCACCCAGAGTCTGGCCCCTAACTTAGTCTCCAGCCTTATTTCATTCCCTTTTCCTCCTTGCCCCTTATGTTCTTTATGCTACAGCCACATTGGCCTTCTTGTGGGTCCTCAAATAAACCATGTTGCCTCCTGTCATAGGATCTCACACATGCTATCCCCTCTGCCTATGACTCTCCCACCCACACCAACACCTAGTTAACTAGGTGATCCCACACCCTACATCTAGGATAGGTTCCTCAGTGATATGATCTCACAGAATCACACTCCTTTCTTTAGGACATCTATCTCTTTATCTCATTTAGAATTATATCCTCATGCAAATTACTTGGCTAATTCCATCTCCCCACTTAGACCACAGGCTTCAGGAAGGCAGGACTGATGTCTGGTTTTGCTCTCCATCCTATTCTTAGCTCCTAGCACAATTCCTGGCAGATAGGAAGCACCCAATTTGTTGAATAAATGAATAAATGAATGAGTGAATGAACAAAGAAATTTCTGGAGTTTTTTGTTTGTTTGTTTGTTTGTTTTTGGTTGGGAGGCTTGAAGTTTCGTGCAGTTAAAATGTAGAAATGGAGAGTTAAAAACCAGACATGGTTGGGTGGAAGATGTGTTTGGTAGCAACTATTATGGAGATTTTCTCCCTAACCCCTGGCCAGAGGGCAGGATGGGGGTGGGGAAGCAGCACAGCACCATCAGCAGTCACAGCATACCTGCCAACCTCATCACAGAGGATCAAAATACCCAACTTCCAGGCCTTAGAGTAAGTGAAAATTATTCACTTTACAGGAGGAAATGCTGTGGAATTAAAGTTGGAGTATATTCTTGAATTGGATATTTTTCTCCAGGGCCCTAAAGTTTACTAGCTGGAATCATTTTTTAAGGACCATTCTATTTAACCTTTGAAAATGAAAGCATCTGCCTTCTAATGGAAAAGGTACTTCTCATTGTAAAGATAGCACACAATGTTCTTGGCCTCTTTGGTCTCCAGAAAAGGAAAGTCAGATATCTCCCTGTGTCCTCACTATATCTTGAACCCCTATGTCAACAAAATAGGCCAGATTAATAGCTAACTCTTTTTTTTAGAATTACTTATTACTAAAACTACCAGCCCATCCTGAGAAATACTAGGTAGGACAGTCTACATAGATGTATCTGCCCCTCAAAGAGCCATAGGAGGCTTAGGAAGCTAGAGATGGAAAGGCCCTAAATAATCTCAAGGCTACTGTGTTCAGAAAAGAAGCCAAGTTTATCATGAATTGAAAAGTTTTATTCCTCAAAAAGCATCAGAAAAACTGTAATTAGCTAATCAAATTATTTATCAAATATTCCTACTTGGCATAAGCCCTATTGTGTCATAGTGAAAAGGTATCCCTTTCTTAAGGATATTATAACCCAACAAAAGAAGATTTGGAAGAACTATAATGTTGGTCAACAACACAAGGTACAGCATAAGTGTTAGCAAAGTTCAGACAGCCCACAGCCAATAGCACTAATGACCACTGAGCTAGCTATGAGATAGATATGATTATACTCTCCTTTGAAAAGCTGAGTAACATACCCAAGGCTGTAAATTTAAAAAGCAGTTTCAAGGGGCACTTGGGTGGCTCAGTCAGTTGAGCGTCTGACTTTGGCTCAGGTCATGATCTCACGGTCCAAGAGTTCGAGCCCCTCATCGGGCTCTGTGCTGATGGCTCAGAGTCTGGAGCCTGCTTTGGATTCTGTGTGTCCCTCTCTCTCTGCCCCTCCCCTGCTCATGCTCTCTCTCTCTCTCTCTCAAAAATAAACAAACATTAAGAAAAAAATTTTAAAGAGTTTCAAACTTAGTTCTATCTGATTCCAAAGCCCATGCTCATAGCCTCTGAGTTCCTGGGGCTTGTAGAGTTCAGGGAGAGGGAGAATTGAGGCTGGCATGGAAGGCAAGGCTTGATGAGGAACATTGTTCTGGACTAGGCCTTAACCAGGCACAATGCTCACTGAGATAAGAGAGAGAAGGAGGAAGGTCAATGTATGGAGCTGTCGTGGAATGAGGATGTAGAGAGATGACAGAGAAGAAAGGGGAAGGAGTACAGAGTGAAGCCAGCTGCTTGGATACAGTCATCTTGGGAGGAGTGGTGAATGAGGACACCTGCCTTGTATGCTCTAAAGACTTGATGCACCCTTCTTCTTTCTTATAAAATATTATATTCCTACACAGATGGGAGAAGACTGGAAGAACAGTTGGGTGGAAGAGGAATCTCCTCTTTCCTTTGCTTTGCTATCACTCTTTGCTCTCTCTGAGTGCATTATCTCAGATACTCCAGCCAGCCAGCCTAAAGTCCATGTCACAAACTTTTTGAGTCCTACATCCCAAGAAGGGTAGCATCTTGGCCTGAGGTTGCCTGATAAAGCCTGGCTGGTCCCAAATGGAACCAGAACTACATTCCTTCTACTGACTATGGTCTCTGAACCAGAGGGTTTGGGGGCATGTGTATCAGACTACAGTCACTCTCCCTACCACTGGACAGACAGCATTCCAAGGAAGGTAGGTCTAATTCAGTGGCACAAGCAGAGTTTTGTGCTTAAGCTCTACCACCACTAGGCATACATCTTTTTACACAGACATGTGATAACTCTACAGCCTTTATTCATTTGCTCGTTCACTCATTCAACAGGTAATTAATGAATGGCCATTTCAAGCCAAGGACTGTGCTAGGTGTTGGGGGAGATAAGGTCAAACAATATGTGGCCCCTAATCTCAGGAGCTGTATACTGTTATTGATGATGGGCATTGACAACAGATGGTCAGGCAATAGTAACTAACTATAATGAATGTTAGGATAAAGAGAAGCTCAGGAGGCTCCATGGGACTCACTGCAAGCTGCTTGCCTTGTTCATTTCTACACCTCTAATACCCATCACTATGCCTGACACACAGTAGGTGCTCAGTAAATTTTTAGTGAATTAAATGAAGATCTTACTGGGGTGCCTGGTGGCTCAGTTGGTTGAGTGTCTGACTCTTGATTTCAGCTCAGGTCATGATCCCAGGGTTGTGGGATCAAGCCCCATATCTGGCTCTGTGCTAAGTATAGAGACTGCTTAAGATTTTTTTTTTCTCTCTCTCCCTTTGTGCCTTTCCCTGCCTGCACACACTTGGAAGGGAAAGGAAAGGGAAGGGAAGGGAAGGGAAGGGAAGGGAAGGGAAGGGAAAAAAGGAAAGAAGAAATGAGATGCCTGGAAATGGACCATTTATTTAAATGAAGATCTTACTAGGCCCGAGTCTGAGCTCTGTCTCTCTGTGACTTCTCTCCATTGGTCTTAAGCCTGATAGTTGGCATCCTAAGCCTAGATGAGATAAGGATAGGTGACATTCTTCAAATACAGTATGCTAGAGTTGGGAGGAACTGGACAAATTAGTCTGTATCACCTCCATCCCCTCCTGGATATCATGCCCCCATAGTTGAGGTCTTTCATGAACCACTTGGAACTTCATGCTTTCCTAATTCCTCCTCATCCTGGATGCCCTCCTTAGAATATGCAAGTTGGTCAATGTCCCAGTTCAATCCAGAGCTTGACACAGAACCTTGAGCGCTCTAGCTGGCTCAATGGTAGGGGGCCACCTCCTCCCCTGAAATAATGGGCTGTGGAAACAGCAATCCTGGCTTTTGATTGGGGTCTTCCAACACCACCAAGGCCTCCAGGAGGCAAATTTGTCCAGGGAAGCAGAGCCATTCTGGGGAAAGCTGAGAAAGGGAGTGAAGAGGTCCTCTGAGGAGACTGAGAAGTGACTCTATTTGGAGGATAGTGATACATCCTCTATCACTTGTACCTTGAGGTACATCGGGCAACTGAGGTGATAGGAAAGGGAGGGTACTGTGAAGGGGTAACTAGGAGGCATGAGGCAACTGCCCCCTCAAGCAAGGCAGGCTGAGTAAGGTCCAGAAAGGCTCTGGCCAGAGCCCAACTCTTCAGCCAGAAATCCCCTCAAAATCAATTGCAGAGTGGTCTTGGGGCATGCTCAAAGCCCCTCAGCTGAGCAGTAGCAGAATGGAGTTAGAACCAGGTCTCCTGATGTCCATTCTTGAATTTTTTTCTCATCACCCTGCTGCCTCCTGGGTATGGGTCTCACGGCAGTTCTTGGCCTGTCATATCCAAGTCTCCCTTCACAGAAGGCTCCTTCATCTCAGGCAGGCAAGGCTTTTCTGGTTTTGATGGGTGGCTTTTTTAATCCTCCAGTACCAACTGTCTCCCTGTTTCTATCTATCCCCTTCCTTGGAAAGATCTCCTGGGGTCTTCAGTGGCCACATGATGGGTAGCCTGGGTTTGCTGCCCAGCAGCAAACCTAGGGACAATGGGCACATGCCTTGGCTTCTGGGCATGCTGATCCTTTTCTCCAGAGAGGTCAGTGTGGTGAGGGGGGGGGGGAGGGGGTGGAATCCAGTGACTTCTCCAGCCTTAAGAATTCCTGTCCTCCTCCTCAGTCTGACCCTCGCTCTGCCAGCCTGGGCCACAGCAGTGCCCACGGGCAGGGCAGTGAGAAAAGGAGGGAGACCTGGGTTTGCTGGTTTTCTTGGCCAGGCACCAGGAGCATGAGTCCTGCCCACCCTTTTTCTGCCAGCCTGCAGTCTCCACTAGCTCCTCTCCCTCTCTCACCCGCCTGTCCCTCCGGGCTGCTCAGGCGCCACCACTACTGTCCCCAACCCGCCCCGCCAGCCTGAGCAAAGGGCAGCGTGACTCACGGCGGCGGCAGCGCTGCCACCAGCCCACGGCTTGCCCGAGGCATATAAAGGCCGCCCGGCGGGCCGCGGCGATTCCTGCCCGGCCCGAGGCGCGCAGAGCATGGCCAGGGGCGCGGAGCGAGGTCGCGGGGACGCCGGCTGGGGGCTGCGGGGCGCTCTGGCGGCGGTGGCGCTGCTCTCGGCGCTCAATGCCGCTGGCACGGTGTTCGCGCTGTGCCAGTGGCGCGGGCTGAGCGCGGCGGTGCGGGCGCTGGAGGCTCAGCAGGGCCGGGAGCAGCGCGAGGACAGCGCCCTGCGCTCCTTCCTGGCCGAGTTGAGTCGCGCTCGGCGCAAGGCGCCGGCTCCTCCCCCGGACCCCGCAAGCGCCGCGCGCAATAAGCGCAGCCACGGCGGGGAGCCCGCGCCGCACATCCGCGCAGAGAGCCACGACATGCTGATGATGATGACCTACTCCATGGTGCCGGTAGGCGGGGGCTTGGCTCCCAGTGGCGCCACCGCCGGGGTGGGCGGCGGGCAGCGCGGGGAGAGAGAGGCCCAGAGGTCCTGTGCTCCCCTGGATGGATGGCGAGGAGCCGCGAGAGGGCCCTGGGCTTGAGCACGGCTGGGAATGTCACCTGGGCCAGCACCTTAGCCCTCTGAGGTCAGTTTCCTCATCTGTTCCTCATCCTTCTTTGAGTCGGCAGATAAATGAGGGGCGCAGGCAGTGTTTTTAAGAGCCTACTTTCCCTTCCTTACTTCGAACAAAACTTTTCACAGCACGGGGAAGACATTTCTGAGGGCTCAGGCTTCTTCAATAAAAGGATTCTTTTCCTGGCTTCATCTAGTGGTCTGGCTTTTCACCTGGCCTCGGACCATCCTCACGAGATCGGTTGAAGCGAACACAGTCCACTCTAATTTTATCAATCACCTGGGACCTTGATGCATAAAAAGTTGCTCTTAGGTAAAGCGATTCCAAATGGGAAGATTGATATAGAGAAATTTGCTTAAAATTCACCGTGAAAGCTGAGGTTCTAATGTGGGCTCCAGCGGGTCTATGGAAGTCCAGAAATTACCAGTGTGCACTCAAGGGGTCATGCATCTAGGGAGAGTGTATTAGATTAATTTCATTAGCTTTTCATTCGATTTGTACTCCCCCAAAAAGATTTAAGAAACTCTGCTCTTAAAAAAAAAAAAAGGACTTAAAGCAAAGCCTCAAAAATCTTTTTTTTCCAGTTTCAAGTTTTTTTGCTTTTGCTGTTTTCAACTCAATAATTATCTAACAATTACATTCAGATCACATTGCAGTTCCCCATTCCATTTCATTATCCTTTACAACCACAGGAGTCTTGTTTCATTTTATAATTACAAAGATTTCAGTTCTGTCATCCCAAGAGTGAGCCATACTTCGGAATCCTAGGTATTTGAAGATAAACTCACTTAAAGCTTCTGTTATCATAGAAACTTTTAAATATCTTATATGAGCAGACATGCTTTTACAACTACAACATGGAAGTATTACACACTGCAATACATCTTTTGAGAGAGACCAAATTTTTCCATTCCTGGTTTCTTCTTCGTTGTCTTCTTTTTTTAAACCTATGTCATCATTTAACTATCTGGGTCCAAGCAAATTTTTTAAAAGACCTCTCTAAAATGAAGAAGACATAGACACACTTTGGGGAATTTACTCTTTCCCTTGGTTCCCTACCATGTATTTTGAGGGTTTTTTGAAACCCTTCAAGAAGGATGCATCTGAGCATCAACATTTTACATTTTTAATCTAGAAGCTTCTGTATTGCAGCCTGTTCAGTCACTAACCCAACGGGATGGAGAGATCCATTTCTGTGTTAGCCTGAAAGCCAGATTTAACTACTACCACCTTCTCTGTTATAGGTCAGAGGGCAGAAACATCACATTTGTCAGGCTGAGAAGCATTCATAGATTATCACCAACTCATCCACCACGTGTAATGGGTATGCTTTGACCTTATAGTGTCATTGAAGGAATATTTCCATGCAGGTCTGGAGGAAGCAACTGTCATATTGCTGACTTTCTGGTTGGGAGTAGTTCTCAAGCAGTAGTCTAGGGGTCAACCTGGAAGCACAGGAAAATGCAGATTCCAGGGTCCCACCCTCATACTTATAAAATTATCATCCCCAGAATTGTCTTCCTTAAGAAGTCCTCTGATTCCCATTCCCCCACCTTCCCACCCCCTTGTGAGTTTGATACAGGGGCCCAGGGGCCACTTTGAGAAAGCTGCGTTAGATCACTGCTTCTCTACTTTATTTATTTATTTATTTATTTTTTAGTGTTTACTTATTTATTTTGAGAGAGAGAGAGAGAAAGAGAGAAAATGCTTGCACGTGCACAAATAAGTGAGCAGGAGAGGGGCAGAGAAAGAGGGAGAGAGAGAATCACAAGTAGGCTGTGTGCTCTCAGCACTGAGCCCAGGGGCCAGGGCTCCATCTCACTACCAAACCTTGAGATCAAGACCTGAGCTGAAATCAAGAGCCACTCAGATGCCCACACCACTTCTCTACTTTAATATGCACATGAATATCCTGATGATCTTTTTCAAATGCAGATTCTGACTCAGAAGGTCTAATTTCAGGCTTGAGATTCTGCACTTCTCATAAGCTTCCGCTGATATCAAAGCTGCTGGTTTGAGGACCACACTTTGAATACCACGGTTCTAGAGTGATGGTTGCACATTGAAATCACATAGGGAGCTTTAAGCATGACTGATGCCTGGATCCCACGACCAGAGATTCTGAATTAATTGTTAGAGGTGCAGCCTGGGGTGCCCGGACATTGGCATACCTTCCTGATGACAGTGAGCAGCATTAAGCATCTCACTTCCACCAGGTCTCTTTTGAGGTCTCTGCTTCAAGCAGAGGAACAATTTTATTGCTGAAAGCCCTTTACTTTATTCTAGCCATATTCTTATCATTCATCTTTGCAAATTTTTCTCATTTTTACTCTCTGCCTTTCTCAGAACAGAGAATTATTCACATGAGGAAACGGTGTTTTAAAAAGCACTTTCACAAGCACCTCTAGTAGAAAAGTTGCTAAGAAAGGCGCCTGGGTGGCTCAGTTGGTAAGCATCTGACTTCAGCTCAGGTCATGATCTCACGGTTCATAAGTTCAAGCCCCATGTCAGGCTCTGTACTGACAGCTCAAAGCCCTGGACCCAGCTTAGGAATCTGTGTCTCCTTCTCTCTCTGCCCTTCACCTGCTCGTGCTCTGTCTCTCTCTCTCTCAAAAATAAACATTAAAAACTATTAAAAAAACGTTAAGTTGCTAAGAGAACTGTTTATACATCATGGAGGTCACTGTGCACACATGTTATGGTTGAAATCTATACCTTCCCCCACCCTTTTATACAGCACCAGGAGGTTTTGAATGAGGATGAGATCAGAGGTTCCCCTCCGCCCTGCCACCCCACTCCACTGAGGTTCCATGTCCTTAGAGATCTAGGAACAAAAAAATAAGTGGTAGGCAGATTAATGTCAGCATTTCAAAAAGGCTCATTTATCCAAGATGAGCCTCCTCAAGCTAACTAGCACTTCAAATTCTGTGCTTTTGGCTGAGAGTATATATCAGCTCAGCATGGTAATCCTGCTTAGCACATTCTGCCCAGAAACTGGTTGTTGGAAGGGCAACATAACTAATCATTACTTAAGAACAGTTAGTTTGGTACAGCCAAACGCATTAAATCCTTAAAAACAACTGGGTACTTTGGAGAAAAGTCATAAGGGCCTGGGTACCACTGAGCTAGACCAGCATTGGGAACCCATCTGCCAGGAACTCATGCAGGAAATGCGGCCTCTGTTTAGTCCCCGCCCCACTTCACACTGCCCCCCATCTCACTTTCCCCATCGGCTGCTCTCTCATCCCATTCTCTAGGTCTTACACTTACTGGTGTTCTGGTAGCTTCATCATCCTGTCCAAAATCTAGGGTCATGCCCCCAGTAGGAAAAGGGTTTTATTTCTCACAATGAACACCCTAAGAAGCTCTAAATCGTTGAAGATTTACATTTTTAAAAAATGAAACTCTAAAATTACTAGAGGAAAAGAAGGGTAAATTCATTTTTAATGTTAGAATGGGGAAAATCTTTCTTTTAAACAACTAGAAAGCCAGAAGCAAATAGTAAACAAATATAACTGCATTTAAAAAGCACACACAACAACAAAAACAAGCACATGCACCCCGTAAACAAACGTAAAAGATAAATGACAAACTGGAAAAAAAAATTTGCAGCTCATACCATAGATATAAGGCTAATCTTCTGAATATATATAGCATTCCTATAAGTTAATAAGGAAAAAAAACCACAAGAATTTAATAGGAAAATCAGCAAACATAGGAATCCAATAGGAAAATGGAACACAGTTCTCAGAAAAAGAAATACAAATGTTTCTCAGTAAACATGTAAGAAAAGATGTCTAAGCTTAAAAATACAAATTACACCTGTCCTGAAACATAATTTTCACCTGTCAGAATGGCAAAACTACAAACGTCTGACCACACATTCTCTTGGGGAAGCTGAAGAGAAATAGACATGCTTTTGCATTGCTGTTTGGACTGCAAATTAGTATAACCCATATGGAAGGCAATTTGGCAATACCTAAAAACATTACAAATACGTTTACCCTGTGACCCAGAAATATCACTTGTGGGAATTTATCCTGAATATATAAAAAAATATATTTTTTTATATATTCAGGATATATTCATATCCTATGAAATGATATATGCACATACGCAGTGTGGAATATTTGTAAAAGCAAAATATTTTTATTAACAACCTGTGCCCATCAGTACGGAACTAGTTAAATAAACTAACCTATGCACCCACTGGAATAGGTAGCTGTAAAATGAGAATGAGGAAATTCTCTATGTGCCATTATTGGAATAGTCCTTGGGATATATTTTAAGTGAAGAAATCAAGGCAGAGAAAAATATATATTGTATTACCTTGTATAAGGAAGAAGCAGAAAAATAAGTGAAGATACTAACAAAAGTACTTACTTAGGGAGAGTGGGGATAAAATGGGAATGAGACTTTCACTGTATAGCTTTGTGTATTATTTTGACATTTGAACCGTATATCGTGTTACTCTAATTGTGAGTAAAAAGGCCATAACCACAAGGCTACATGGCCGCTGACCCTGGACTGGGGGACAATAGGGTGTGGCAGAGACTTTGCCAGCCTGAAGTTCATGCACTGTGTCTAAAGGGAGGCTCTCAATGATTGTTGCTGTACAAGAGCAAGATTGTTGATTTTTTTTTTGAAGAGAAGTTTAAAAATCTGACTCTTTATTTGAAATCTCTTGGCTTTGAAATATTGACAAAAATTCCAAAAAAATATTTTTAACTGGCTGAGTGCATTGGCCAAACAACACTCACATTGTTAAGGGCCGTGCTGGGACTACCGAGCTTAGTTCTGAGCAGTCTCTTCTTATAATCATGAGTGGTTTTAAA